CCACCTGCCTGCTTTACATCTCTGGGTCCAAGGCCATGGACTTGGTCCTGGCTTTTGAAGTTCTCTGGCCCAAACGCTGGGGTTGCGCTTCATTCGCACCTTCTCATCCTTGACTTTATCTTTGACCCTGTATGTGTCTTTCTGACCTCCTGGTTCCTTGATCTGTGCACCTCTCATTTGGCTGGGGACGGGAATCAATCTATTCCCAAAGGCTCCAAACTTAGAAATCAAGAAAATATTTATAGGTTTTTTTTCTCTAGAGGAGGGAAGAAAGTATTTAGGCAGCTTTAAAGAGCATGCTTGGCTTCCACTGCCATTTTTCCAGCAGGCCAGGATCAGCCCTTTTCCACCAGTGGGGGAGGGGAGGCAGACGTGCAATGATTTTTTAAAGACAAATTCCTCAGAGGGTGGCCATGGACACAGTTTGAAGAACCACTGAGTTAAGGGCTCTGAGCTGGGTCAGAGATGTGCATGGAGTTGCCCCAATTCTGTCATTCAGTAGAATAATGCCCCAAATGGAAATCAAAGCGTCCTCCGAGGTAGATCTGCAATGCACCCTGCTTCCGTTCTGATCTGTGCAGACGGTGGCGTGTGGATGAGGTTTCAGAAGACATGCTCCTTTCCTTCCAGGCTCTACTCTCGGCCAGCAACTTTCTCTCCCCCTCTCTCCCTCCCCCACCTCGACCTTTTCCTTTTCTCTCTTCTTGCCACCCTCCTATCAACAAATACACATGCACACAAAGGAAGAAGAGCTCTAAGGATTTCTGCTCCCATTCCTTTTGTACCTCGGTCTGCCTTTCATTACAGAGTCACACTGTACAAAGCTTGTTTCCCTGCCCTCGTGCAAGGATATATTAGCTTTCCTAGAAAGTGCTTTAGGTAACTGCTAACATGCTCTGGACGAACACATCACCTACAGGGCTTCTCAGATTTGGGCAGGGTAGCCTGTGCACTCCTCCCTACCTGAAGGACGCTGCTTTCTTCTGTAGGCACAATTCCCTGCACAGACACACTCACGAGCCAAGCCTTTGCTTTCCGTAGAGAACAATCTCGTAGGCTTCCCCAGATAATGTCAAGACACGATAAAGGGACGCTGTCACACTGCACTGGCCAGCGAGCTGCTACTGTGTTACTGCTCTACCGGCTGCCGTGCGTCCTCTCATCACGACAGTCACCTAAATATAATCCCCGAAACCTGGAATTCTCTCCTCGTGGCTAAAGCTCACCACTCCCCTCGCCGGCCTTGCTGCAAAGTCCCTGCTTCCGGAAGTCACAGGGTTAGCAATGACAGAACAAGACGGCAGTGGTCTGTGTCCTCCTTAACAAAGGCAAAAATAATCTTCACGGGCGTTGGCATTTTGCAAGGAAATAAGAACACGGCTTAATCTTCACGCCGTGCTAATGAACTCAACCGAAGAGAAATTTTACAAAGATATTCCTAGCATAATCAGCATGAATTCAATTTCCTGAAACAGTAAATAGTTATTACTGAACTCACTGCCTAATCTTTTTTCTTTCCTCTCTTAGGGTGAAATTCTTCCATGTAAAACACTTAAAATGTTCAATCCGAATAAAAATGGAAGGACTATGATTCTGTAGGCTGCTGGCGTGGCAAAAATGCCTTTTGCTGGGGTCTCTCTGTTATGTTTGACGATTTGCCACTTTCCACGAGTTAGATGTCAAGGTTTCGTGTACACAGAGTTGTATTTTGTAAATAGTTGCTCATGCCTCTCTAGCAATAGGCCTATCATTAGGGCATGTGCATTACATATAATATTAACGATTCACTGTTCCCATCTGGCAATTCAGTACCTTTAACTGTGCCAATCAACCACGTTAAACATCATGACCCTTCGAGAATCTACAAATAGCAATATGTGCCTCCTAAAACTCTGGGATATAAAGCATACTGCTCGAAGACAGCTTAATTTTTCCCACACAGTCCAATTTTACACCAACACCATGTCTTCTACAATAGCTAGAATGCCGTCCCTGCGGCCTCACAGCACTTTCAGGTTTTGCAATGAGTAAATTATTCCCGCGACCTTACTGAAAACATCCATAGTTATGACTGGAAAAAGCTAGAAGTGAAGAATGAGATGGTAGAGATATATACTGTCAAACAGGCACTGCAACCAGAAGCATCTAGGAAACCACTACAATATTCTTCCTTTTTATATTCCTCGAGAATAAACTTACAGAAAAGGTTTTAATGTTTTTAACCTGATGCATGGGCTATTATGTTTGTTTGAAAAACAAAATAATTATTATCTTCATAGGCTTTGATGATGCCCATCACTCCTCATAAAAAATGCAATGGTCATCAGCTGACTAGCATACCTTTTGGGATTTTTTTTTCTTCTATTGTATTTCACTACCCTAACTCATATTTTATGATCATGTTGGCCCACGGACAGGTAGCAGAAATAAAATAAAATACAAGTTGGTTTCATAGATAGTAAACATGCCCTGTGAAATTTAAACATACTTTTAAACATACTTTTGGAAACATACTATGCTCATAAGCACATATTTTAGAAGAACTTTCTCTAAGACACTTTATGATGAACACCATAATCTGGAATAATTCACTGTCTTTGATGTTAGAATCCTGCACGCATTCACAAAATATTTACCTTTTTAAAAAAAAAAATAGAGTCCAAATGTATAGCTTCTGAATCACAAAATTTAGGTAAAAGCCATCTTTTCGGTAGGGAAACCAGCCAAATGCCATTAATCCTTTATATGATTACGCAGAGAACAGAGGTAACAATGGAAAAACCAGATTCTACTCATTCTGGGAAGCACAGCCTTTTGTACATTTTTAGACATTGCTCCTTCAATTGTTGTTTTTCTCACTAGGGATGAATCCCTTGAATGTGTAAGAGAGCTGTCCAAAGTGTAAGGGAATCGGACAAGACTCCCAGTGTCCTGACAGCTAAGCCAGCCCTAACGAGCGTCTCCACACAGCGGGTCAGATTGAAAGCTCTAGGTCTCCTTTCTGGCCTCGTTTGCACCAATCCGAAAGAGCTGCCCACATCCAGGAAAGAATAGCTTTCGTCCTACTGTCAACATATTAGAAGTGACGTTACACGAAACGATAGCCAGATATAGGAATATGGGAATAGGAATATAGGAATCAGATGTGTAAGAATCATGTCTAGAATCAATACCGTAGAGTCCCCTAAATTAAAGGTTCGGAAAACTTGTAACTACCTGGGGAGAGCGTGTGTACCAACATACAGTGTTTCCCCGAAAATAAGCCCTACCTGTAAAATAAGCCCTAGCAGGATGTCTATGCAAGTGCGCCATAGAAGCCCCACCCCGAAAATCAGCCCTAGTGACGGCTGTGGCTGCGCAGCATCTGCACAACCCGTGCGTGTCGTCGCGGAGCGGGAAAGGACACGAGCAGCCCTTCTCATCCGCCCCGTGACAGCTCTAGTGCTCCACAAGAGAGATCGGGGCCGGTGGCTCTAAAGGAAATAGAGTCGCAAGACATTCAGGATGGAATTCTGGGTTTGGAGAGTGAGGATGATGTTCCAGAAGAAGACGACTTCACTCTATTTGAATCAATGTAGACGGTTGTACCGTACTTAAAAAAAATAACCCATCCCGTGCAAATAAGCCCTAGGGTGTCTTCTTGAGGAAAAATAAATATAAGACCCTGTCTGATTTTCGGGGAAACACGGTAGTAGGGCCTACCAATTTTGAAAACCTCAAACTTTGACAGATGAATGCAATGAACCCTGCTCCACTTGGCATGCTGGTCTCTTACTCTTCTGGAAGGGAGCAGTCTCTGATCTCACTACGAATCGCTTGACGTGATTACCGTACATCTAGCTGCAGGGAGCCCGGGGCAGAACAATAGCCCAAAGTCTCCTATAGTCAATCACCCATCTCGCCATATTTTGTGCATGTACGTACAATTGAGCAACTTTACCACGTCGCACAGCTCGAGCTCTAGATGGGATAGGTAGTGATAGGCAGGTAAACGCTACCATTTGATCTACCATTTGATCCAGCAACCCCACTACTGGACATCTACCCAAAAGATCCAATGACACTCTACAAAAAAGACACCTGCACTCGAATGTTTATAGCCGCACAATTCACAATCGAAAAGCTGTGGAAACAACCCAAGTGCCCATGAACTCTTGAGTGGATTAATAAAATGTGGTCTATGTACACCATGGAGTACTACTCAGCTATAAGAAACAACAGTGATCTGTCACCTCTTGTATTTCCCTGGCTAGAGCTGGAACCCATTCTACTAAGTGAAGTATCTCAAGAATGGAAAAACCAGCGGCACATGTACTCACCAGCAAATTGGTATTAACAGATCAACACATAAGTGGACACATAGGAATGACATTTATCGGGTGTCGGGTGGTGTGAGGGGGAGGAGGGGATGGGTGTGTACAAACACAACGAGTAAGATGTGCAACGTTTGGGGGATGGACACGCTTGAAGCTCTGACTCGAGGGGTGGTGGGGGGCATGGACAGTATACGTAACCTTAACACCTGTACCCCCATAATACGCTAAAATAATAATAATGTAAAAAAGACGACAATGAGCATTTACTCTGGGGCCAGTAGGGACGGTGAGAAACACCCACCTGAAGGATAAGGCTCCCTGGTCCTCTTCTCCTATCCCGAATTAATGAAAGTATGTGTGTAAGGGCGGTGGGGAGTGAATGAGGAGGAGGGTTCAATTTAGATAGATTAGATAATTTTATACCAGATAATCTGTCATCACGCTGAATCATTCTCTAACACGTGCAAGAAACCTGAAAGAGGCTGCCTCTGCCGGGTCCCAGCGGCACGGGTGTGACGCGGCTGCAGAGCCCCTGCAGCGCCCGCACCTGTGAACCAGGGCTCCCGCCTTGGGGGTGCCGCTTCCGCTTCTACCAACCCTCTTGCTTCGCACAGCCGATCCGGCTTCGGGACCTGCAAAACCAGGCAGCGTCTCTGAGGGGGGGCGGCAGGGGTCTCCACTTACCTTCTCCGCCGACTGAGCGGTGCCGAAGAAAATCGGGATGAAGGCGAGCCACACTATACACGTCGTGTACATGGTGAACCCGATGGGCTTGGCCTCGTTAAAATTCTCGGGCACACCCCGAGTCTTGATGGCGTACACAGTGCACGTGACCATGAGGAGGATGCTGTACCCCAGGGAGCAGATGATCTGCAGGTCTGTGATGTCACACTTGAGGACGCCCCTGGCCTGCTCGGGGCTCATCGTCTTGTGCTCGTCGTAGTCCACGACGATGTTCGGGGGGTCGACGCCGAACCAGATGAAGACGCCCAGCAGCTGGACGGATATCAGGCTGGAGGCGATGGCCAGCTGGGACGTGGGGCTGATGAGCCTGGGGGCGGTGACCGACTTCTTGCCCTGCTCGAATATGCGGTAGATCCGGTTGGTTTTGGTCAGGAGGGCCGCGTAGCTGATGCACATGCCCAGGCCCAGGAACACCCGCCGGAAGGAGCACACCGCCACGTCGGGCTTCGCGATCATCAGGAAGGTGATGATGTAGCAGAGGAAAATGCCCGTCAGCAGCACGTAGCTGAGCTCCCGGCCCGACGCCCGCACGATGGGGGTGTCGTTGTAGCGGATGAAGGTGGCCATCACGAAGAGGGTGGCGACGATGCCCAGCATGGCCAGGAAGACTGGGATGACGGCCCAGGGCGAGTGCCACTCCAGCTTGATGATGGGGATGTCCTGGCAGCCCGTGCGGTTCTCGTTCGGCCTCTGGTCGTACGGGCAGTGCTGGCACGTCACCTCGTCAAACTGGTACTGGTAGCCGTCGCACGGCTCGCAGGTCCAGCAGCACGGAGTGCCCTTCTGCGTCTTCTTCCTCTGCCCTGGCTTGCAGGGCCGGGTGCACACCGAGGCCGGGATCTCCCTGACTCCTTTTCCCCACTGCATGTCCTCTATCTGCAGCACCAGAACAAAAAAGAAGGTAGAACAGGGGATTATTCCAGGGGCGAGAAAAGAACAACAAGCAGCGTTCATCGACAGGGGCAGCTAACGTCAGAGGCTCGGCAGGTGACGCAGCCCACGCCCCGGCCCCTGAGCTCTGCAGACAGCTGTGACCTGACCCCACTGCACTGACTCCAGGACTCTCTCTCTTCGCCATCCCAGAGTGTGTTCCAGAAACGTCCGATCGTCAGAACGCCTGGATGATGACAATGAAACGTACAAGTTCCCCGTTGGATGACAATAACGAAACACAAATTCCCCCGTTCCACCCCTGACCTCCCGAACATGCACATCCTGAAAAAGAACCACGAGGTCTGTATTTACGACAAACGCTCAGAGGATTCGCGTGTGCAGATAAATTGAGAAACGCCGACCCACGCCCTTGCTCCCTGCCCCTGGATAAATATGTAGGACGACCCCAAATCAAGTAAGAAAAGGAACACGATACAAACAGCTACAGCAATGTGGAAAGCTGCATTCATTTCCCTTGCTAGGTGCATTTATTTAAAAAAAAATTGTTTTTATAAACATTCGAGGGCAGATGTCTTTATAATAGAATGTCTTATGCTTTTTGGGGTAGATGCCTAACAGTGCTACTGCTGGGTCGAATGGTATTTCTAATTTTTAGCTCTTTGAGGTATCTCCAAATTCTTTTCCACAGAGGTTGCACTAGTTTGCAGTCCCACCAGCAGTGTAGGAGTGTTCCTCTCTCTCGGCATCCTCGCTAGCATTTGTTATTTTGGGATTTTTTGATATAGGCCAATCTCACTGGGGTTAGGTGATATCTCATTGTGGTTTTGATTTGCATTTCCCTGATGATTAGAGATGTTGAGCATTCATTGAGAGATGTTTGCTGGCCTGGATTGAGCTTAAGCCTGTTATCCAAAGTGAGGTGACACAAGATCAGAATGGGCTTCACATGTCCTCGCCAAGAAATTGGTACTGACTGATCAACACCATGGTGCTCAAAGGGTGGTGGTGTTCTCCAGGGATTCGGGGGGTTGTGGAGGGGTAGACCCACATCTGAGGGATGTGGTGAGCCTTGTGGAGGGGAAGGGCATCCCTCTAACCCTTGCTAGGGGGAGGCGAAGATATAAAATGTAACCAAAATGTTAAGAAAAAAAATTATTGGCTTCCGGGCAGGTGGGAGGGGGGGAGGGGATGGGTATATACATACATAGTGAGATGCGCACCGTCCGGGGGATGGGCACGCTTGAAGCTCTGACTCGAGGGGGGGAAGGGCAATATAGGTGACCTTAACGTTTGTACCCTCATAATATGCTGGATTAAAAAAAAATAATTGTTTTTAAATTATTGCAGATGATATTGCAGGGCTGACCACCTTTCCTAAAATACTGCAGGCATTGCCACCATTTTCACAGAGAATTTCTGAAGTGGAGTCGGTCTGTTTATGACTATCCCAGAGTTTTCGAAGGGCAAGGTTCATCGTGGAGGGCTTTAGGTACATGAGGCTGTATGCTAAGAGTTTGGGAAGCAATTGATAGGAAAATAATGTATTCAAAGCACTTACTCTGAAAAAAAAAATAATGTAGTCTGGAGACCTTTCAAGATCAGCCATCCACCTATTTGGAGATGAAGTTTGGGCTAACCCACTCTATCCTAGGGGAAGATCAACGTGTATTTGCTTAATTAGAATACTGGCTTTCTGGAGGGGAACTTAAAACCAGCAGTGCTCTAAAAATAATGGCGTGAGAAACAATGGAAAACCTCACTACTGGGCTGAAATCTCACTCTGGTAGGTGCCTCTCCTCTTGGCCAGCATGGTTCTTCCCTTCCTCTTTCCTGGTATCAGCTCCTGAGATTTCTATGCACTTTCTGCGGGGTTGAATTTACACTGAAGCTCTGGGGCTGCCCACATAACACAGGGCTCAACAGTGAGTACACTGCAGTGGTTCTCAAACTTGAGCGTTTATCAGAATCACTTGGAGGACTTATAGTGACAGTTTTCTGGAGCCCTCTCCCAGGTTTTCTGATTCCCTGGATCGCAGATGGGGCCTGAACATATGCATTTCTAAGAAGATTCCGGGTGGTGCTGCCGGGTATTGTCCAGGGACAGTCTTTGTCAACCGCCAAGCTCCCAACAATAGAGATCGGGTCAGGGATGGGTTCATTTTGTCCCATGTCATGGAGCTTAATTTCATGACTTTTGCTGAGATTATACAGGATAAAAATCACTGGATTTGGAGGTTCCAGGGTATAAGGCTGCTGGTGCTCATGGCTAAAAAGAGCAAAGAGGTGTAGAGAGAATGATTACTGCTGAGTGTATTTGAGCTCCTGGATATAGCTATGCCTGAAGCAGGAATTGACATAGACTATGCCATTCTGTAAGCCAGTAAATTCACCTATGATAAAATACTTTAAATTTCATTTTCAGCATTTGCAACCAAGAGTCTTTTTTTTTTTTTGAGAAAGAGTCTCACTTTGTTGCCCAGGCTAGAGTGAGTGCCGTGGCGTCAGCCTCACTCACAGCAACCTCAAACTCTTGGGCTCAAGCAATCCTCCCACCTCAGCCTCCCGAGTAGCTGAAACTACAGGCAGGCGCCACCATGCCCAGCTAATTATTAGTTGGCCAATTAATTTATTTCTATTTATAGTAGAGACGGGGGTCTCGCTCTTGCTCAGGCTGGTTTCGAACTCCTGACCTCAAACAATCCACCTGCCTCGGCCTCCCAGAGTGCTAGGATTACAGGCGTGAGCCACTACACCCAGCCTGTAACCAAGAGTCTTGAGCAATCTATGCACTAAATAGTTTCAGTACTCGCAATTTACAAAAAATATACTAAGTCAGCAAATTATTTTACAGAATAAATTCTAATTAACGAATATAGCTGATTTTCCCTGTACCTAGTTAATTGAATTTTTAATACAATTAAATAAAAAAAATGATTGAAAGATACTATAAAGTCTGAGACTTTTTAAGATATATGCCTTTTAAGATATAAGAGGGAAAGAAAACAATAATTGACTGCCTGTTGGAATTCCAGTGTTAGTATACGAATGCAATGCATAACAGGGAGTGAAGTTCCCATGAGAAGCTGAATGTGAACTACATTCAAAATCTGAATCAAATGTAGCTAACTCAGAAAGAAAACGGCGCAGGAGTTAAACTTCCTAAAATGTCATAGTCTCAATGGTTGAATTTAAACTTTACCAGAGAACCAAGAATGCTCACATGATTCTAGCGTGAACTTATTTGTATAAGTACAAAACTCAAGTCAGGACTGATAAATCTAACTAACTATAAAACATAATCATTTTTTTTATCGACGTTGTCATCTTTGAGGCAGTAAGTCACCAGAAGCCATCCCAAAGTCAAAAGATTAAAGGAGTAATTTGCAATAAAAGAGAAAAAGATACACACTAACTTTACAAATGTCAAATTTCACGAAGCTGGAGACTAAAAAAATTCCCATACTACTAAGTGAAGTATGCCAAGAATGGAAAAACAAGCACCACACATACTCACCAGCAAACTGGTATTAACTGAGCAGCACCTAAGTGGACACATAGTTACTACAGTAATAGGGTATTGGGCAGGGGGGAGGAGGGAGGGGGCGGGTATATACATACATAATGAGTGACATGTGCACCATCTGGGGGATGGTCATGCTGGAAAATCAGACTTGTGGGAGGAGGGGGGAAAGGGCATTTATTGAAACCTTAAAATCTGTACCCCCATAATATGCCAAAATAAAAAAAAATAAAATTTCTATTATTAATGCTGGTGCTTTCAAATGTCAAACTAAAAGGTCCTATTGGTGGTTAACAGGAAAGATGAACAACGACAACAACAAGATAAATAAATTTCACCAGTTAAACTTGACGCTGCCTGATTCCAACACTAGTAGAGACTGATGTAGCATATGATTAGACTTGATCTATGGGAACAAATGTACGGCTCACACACAAACATAAAAACAAATTATCATTATACATAATATTTTATAGCCAATTTCACATGTTGCCAAGCTCACTCTTCCCCTTGCCCTGGAATAAAATAAAATGCCTGGCATTGCAGAACAGCTTTTTTTGTTTTTTCTCAACTTATCCAAACTTATACAAGAGCTGTAGCCACAAACATTACATTGACTGATGACTTAATTTGTTTTCAATGTTCATTTAAAGTAGATTTCAACTCAATTTAATCGTATATACTAAATCCACAAAGTTGCCTTTTGCTCCAGATGAACAAAGTCTAATTTACTTGCTTTGCCAACAAAAACACCGTTGGAAATATAATGGGTTTCCCAGGAAGGTACCGACTAGCCTCTAAAAGCTCCAGTAAGTGAGAACTTCATTAGAGGGATGCGTATGATTTGTGTGTGCCTGTACCCATCCACACGCATACCGTGGCTTGTTATTTCATAAGAAGAAACGATCGGCTGCAAATGCCCATGAGCATCCATTGAAAGAAGGATAATCATTTATGGGTATGAAAAATACCAACTAGATGTCAGTTTACTTTGCCAGAAGGCTAGGAGGAATGCAAATTCCAGGTTTCTTCGGAATGCTGCAACAAAAGCGTGTCTCATGGAATTGGAAAGCCAACTGTAAGGTTCAGAAAGATTAGGAAAAGGCTGAATGTTTATCCTCTTCTTCACTTGACCATACAAGTTTACATCACCTGGTAGGGACACATTTTCCTCCAGGACACCTAACGTTTATGATTTTTTGATACCTGGTTTGCTCAGTACTTGGTTTGCAGAGAACAACTGCTAAGATACTAGCTTTTGGCAAGAGGACAGAACTTTATGTCTAATACTGTGTTTCCCTGAAAATAAGACAGGATCTTATATTTATTTTTCCTCAAGAAGACACCCTAGGACTAATTTTCAGGGGATGTGTTATTTTTTTTTTTTTAAGTTCAGTACAACCATCTACATTGATTCAAATAGAGTGAAGTCGTCTTCTTCTGGAACATCATCCTCACTCTC